GCGAGGCCGAGTCACCATCGAAACTAGAAAGTTTGTTCCGCGGCTTGTTGTCTCCGCAAGGTTCTAGGATCGTCTGTGCGGTGACCGGAGAACATGGAGGGGCCGGGAAAAGTTACTGCACTATCCGCGCTGCCACCGCTACATTCGAGAGAGGACTAGTCTTGACCCCCACAAACAGCCTGCGCACGTCCTACGCAAACCTGCCATCCCGGTGGAGTGTAAAAACCGCTGACCACCAGCTTGGATTCTACCTGAGTGATGACTCTTTCGTGAGGAAGACGGCGGGATCGATACGAACGCTCAAGGTCGACGTAATCATCATCGAAGAAGCTGCCTACATGCCTCTCCGTACCTTAAGCATGATCCTTGCGGCTGCCCATAGTAGCGGTACCCACGTAATCGGGACGTACGACACGCACCAACTCCAACCCGTTTGCGATAGCAGCGGCATGTCGATTAGCAGGGACAACGTCGACAGGAAGGTCATCCTCGAAAAAGCCTTCCCCATATGTTTTCACGTCTTCGCGCGCAAGCGAGACAAAACTATCGAAGACCAGGTGGAGATGGATGACGGCCTCCTGTACATTCTGGCCGCAGGCAACGACAGTCACGAGGCGCAGACTCGAGCCATAGAGAGGTTTGGCAGGGAGCATACCGACAATCCTGGCCCTTCAGATTTTCATCTCGCGTACACATGAGAATGTGCTCGATTCCACGCCTTTCGAGGTTTGCTGGGGTGCAACGAGGCCGGTGACTGGGATGGGCTGGGGTGTCAGACGGTTGTCGGTGCGCAATACCGAGACCTCGGAAACCTGGGCAAGATTCACAAGAACCACACCTACAGCATCATCCGGTCCTCAGGAGATAACGTCATCGTCGCGAGTGCATTTGACGATGGTGCTAGTCTTGAGGAAACTTCACTCTGTCGAGCGGAGGCAGAAAACGTTGTTTTTGATCCTCCGGGGTCATGCACAGTACACGCGGTCCAAGGTCGTACCGTGGAAGGGAGGTTGATCATACATCAGGCCCGGCACCGTCACGCTGACGTCCACTGGCTGTACACGGCTGTCAGTCGAGCGACCGGACCCTCGAACGTGATGGTCATCGACGACATTCACCGTAGCAAGAGCAACATGCCCGGCCGAGAGAGGGTGTCATGGGTTTCTCGGAAGATTTCAAGCTACATCTACGCCGACGTTACGGCCGGCCGTCTTGGACCAGACGAGGGTATCCAGCATAGGGAAGCTCTTGCCGAAGAGCTCCTGAACTCGTACGGAGGTAGATGCAGCCTTTGCTCATGTGAGCTTGTCTGGGCCGTTTACAGCGAACGCCAACCGACTCTCGACCGCCTTGACTGCTCTTTGCCTCACACTGCTGACAATGTGGATGTCAAGTGCTTGAGGTGCAATCGCGCTCGTGGTAGCCTGGGGAGAGGACGCACAAAAAAGAAAAAGGTAGATGATAGTGGGAAGGAGGAGAAGTAGCCCCATCATTAACAAATACAGGATATAATGTGTGTTTTTGTTAATAGCAGTATTCAACATGGATGGAAATATATGGATGTGCGCCATATGGCTGGAAGAGCACGAGAATCCACGCGAGGTTCTGGATGTTCTGAGGAAGCTACACCCTGGCTCCTTAAACAAGAACGTCAGAAGGGTTCGGGAAGTTTGGATACAAACGTTCGGCGCCCGACACAATGCAGGTCCCGTCAAGACCGAAATCCGACGATTGCTCGCCCTTATCAAGAAGAGATCATCCGCGGCGAAGAAGACGAAGGGGCGGAAGGAATACCTGAAACAGCTACACAAGGCCTGGGGTCGCGTTGTGTCATTCGAGAAATTAGACCTTACCGATAAATGGTCGGCCCGACGCGCGATACACTCGCGGACGGTGTCTTTCACTGGGCTCGCCGAAATTGACGACCTCCTGAGGAAGGTGCGATTGCTTCCGCCCTACGTCTCCCGGTTAGAGCTCACGCCCGAGGAGAAAAGCTTGCCAAGAATAAAACGCCGAGAGTCCCTAGAGGCAAAGTGTAGGCGTGGAATAACGGTGCACGCGAGCGATCTCATCGACACCATGCAGTCCATCATCAGATACGCACGCCCGAATTACTTTGAACTTGCGTGTGCGTTGTCGTTTGTGTCTGGGAGGGGTCTAGCGGAGCTTGCCGGGAAATCTGACTTTTCACCAAGCACGCGTGGCCCCTACGAGGCAGAGGTTAAGATGGGAACTGTGGCCCGGGTCCTGTTGTTGTGTGAGTTCGACCACTTCATCGAAGGTCTCAAGAGGCTGCGCGGCATGAAAGACACCTCCTGTCTCACGGCTGCAGAGATAAATCAACGTTACAGCAAGTCAGTCAACATCGCAGCTAGGAAACTTTTGCCGACTGATGGTCGGCACGTGTTTGGTGATCTCAAGGTTTTACATGCCGCGATCTCTTATCGGGTATTCAAAGGACATGGTTTGGATTTCGAAGGGTGGGTACGAGTGATTGTGGGTCATTTGTCGCCAGCGTTGCAACGTAAGAGTTCAGTTATTAGGGTAGAGGGGATTGAAGACAGTCATTGCAGGCAATGGGTGGGTGATTGTACGAGTGGGGGTAGAGTTGACACGATTGGAATCGTGTTATAGTGTAATGATAAAGTGTAAAAAAGACCTGAAAAAATATTACTTCGAAGTATTCAATAATAAAAACTCGTGGGTCAGACAGGACGCGAACGAGTAGTGTGGGTTTGAAAGCTTTCCAGCAACATTGTGGCGCACCCAGGCATGCATGTATAATGCTGACAACGGAAACAAAGCTTCCTTCCGCTTCTGAGTGTGAGGGTCTCCGCACCGTGTCACAACGTTGTCTCTGATCGCGTTGTCACGCTTGGAGACCACACGAAATTATTGTGCGAGCATCAACAAGCGAGAAGACATAATAGACAGTCGGACACAGGAACAAAACGACACAAACACGAAGGAAAATAATTGTAGTTGGTTGTGCAAGTCTGCTCATTACTCCCTCGCGCCCGCCATCTCGAGCCGCTTTCGCAACGCTTCAATGAGTATACATATACAACGTCTTGCCTTCTCAACGTCCGAGGTACGTGTCAACATCGATCGGCAAATCTCCACAAACGACATACAAGTAAATCAAAAGGGCTCACACGACCCGCGAATGATACATCGGCCCACCAATCTCCCATCCCGTTCGGTGGTTGTGTTGTTGTGCGGATCGGGGAATTTGCTACACGGAGAGGGAAGGGTGATACCATGATTGCCTTTGATCCAATCAAAGCCAAATGCAGTGGCATGGTTTCCCGAATGTTTCACTGTTGCCCTCCAGAACCAATACATGTTGCAACACAACAGTCGAACGCACCAGACAAAATTTGATCTACGGCTAGCGATCGCGTGTCAATCGAAGTGGTCGAAATCCAAACGTAAAACCACCAATAATCCAAGACAAATCACATTCAATCGGGTGGTGATCGTAAATCAACCTTCACAACCACTCCACATTGAGGACACAAACACTGAACCTTCCTGAAATCTACGTAGTAAATGGAATAATCGATGACGGGATCCGTAAAAAAACACCAACTCTCTCTCTTTCTCGCTCCAAGTGTTTCTTTTACTCAAATGGTATCGACGGCGATCAATAAACCACTCGAGGATGAATGGTTGGTTGTGTCTGCCTGAACGAACGCCTTCGTCAAGTAAGTGACACTTCGATTCCTTCGACACAATCCACTTTGTATCGATCGTATCACAGACCAGACAATGCTATCTTACATGCAGAAATGCAACACACCCGAATCTACGCTGCGCAGTCTTTAGTTGTGAGAGAAGACTGGGGCAATCGTTGCACACGAAATACAGATTCGTATCCCACGCAGCATACATACATGTACGTCCCCAGATATCGACCTGCGCAGCCCAGTAAACTCTCATACTAGAGGATAGAGAACCGGCTTCAAGCAATCCGATCCAATCGTGGGCATGTGCTGATATTCTCGATATTTCTCCTCCAGTCCAGACTTCATCTGTGAGGAGCTATCTACATGGTGGAAACGAGAACCCTATCGGTTCCGCTTACCCCTTCTTCTTGGCAGCGCATTTTGCAAAGGCGCCGTTGTGGCGTTCGCTCTGCGTGACCTTGAGCACGATCCTCCTGGCCAAGATTTTCGCTGTCCTGTTTCATCCGGGAGAACTCGATCAGAGCGAGAACTGGCTGCACCCAATCAATCCCAAGGAGGATATGTAGCAACAATGTCGATTTATTCGTGGAAGAGAGGACAACAATCAGAGGAAAATGAGACAAGGAATCCCCTCCCCCTCCCTACAAGCCTGCCAACGGAATGCGTCTTAGATAGCAATAAATAAACAATGATTGTGAGACGGAATGGAGAGAACAAACCTCATATACGATTGTATATATATCCCGCAAGTAAGTGGGAACGAACTTGTTTACTTTTTATTTTAGTGTGAGCATAGGATACAGAGAAGAAGAACAGAAAGACCTCTGAGATGCACACGGCGAGGAAAGGAAATGAACGTGACTACATAATGTGGATCGTACGTGTGAGTGCTTGACCTAGTACATCATGACATATTCATGCTATATATAGGAGCGCCTGACACAGGTAGACTCTGTGTACATCGGAGACACGTAAGATGGATCTGCGACCGCCTGATTCTCTCTTATATGGTCAAGGCGTGCTATGTAGCGTGTACCCTGCCACCTACGGGCTGGATGCTACATACTGCAGCACACAGCTTCGTGACAGAGTCGCTCCCTCTTTTCTCTGCCCTTTGTCGCGCTCCCGCCCCCCTCTAGCCCATGGCAAGATCTCCCGTCCGCAGCAGTTCTCGCCAACTTGGTTCTGACGGTTACATAAATGCCCCTACATTGAAACCCAATACATTGAAAAGCGGAGAAAAGCACGCACTGCGCGCGGTCTCCGGTTCTCGCGCGAAAGCCGTTTTTCGAGTGACCAACACACACAACAGACCCACAAGCACACGCACGCTACGGGCCCCACTCGCTGCTGTGCTTGCCAATCCGCCCACCCTCCCTAGACAGCAATAGAGAGGGAGAGAAAGGTGCAGCAGGACCATGACGTACCAGACGATGGAGAACGCAAACGACGGCATGCCGCTGCTGCGAGAGAAGGGCTCTGCCGTCGATGTGGTCGAGGAGGGCGGCATCGATGAGATCGATGGGACCAGTACTACTTCTCGACGAAGCCGAAAGGGGGCGGCGCTTGGTTTGATCGTGCTTGCCTTGGGAGCTGTCTCCGCGTTGTCAGCCCTCGGGGGGAAGCCTTCGTCTCAGAGTGAGTGCCGCCTCTTTTTTTGGTGTTGGGCAACAGATTCGTGACTGCTGCTGTGCGGGAGCGTCACCAAGAAAAATACGATCACGCTTTGGGATTTTTACTGTAGGTAAGGAGAGACGGAGCTGTGTGTTGTGCATCTCCGGGGCGTAACTGCCCCCTCGACATGGCAGCTTGCACAAGAGAATGGGCCCAGCATCCCTCGCTCTCACTGCTGTGAGTTCACGGTTGTCTGCTTTCGTGGCGCGTGGTCAGTGGCCATCGCTCTATTCACCCGACCCCACAAACCTCGGGCTACCCAGAGCAAGCCTGATTGATATGCAGTTTGTTGTGTGCGGTGTGTTTGTCTCTCCAATAACGACGCAAGTTGTTGTGTGGCATCCAGTTGTTGAACTGCTGTTTGCGCAAAAATGTATCTTGGTTTCCCGCATATCCAGCGGGCACGAATCAAGCGAGCAATAGTTGACCCTACCCAGTGCCACAGCTTTCCGACGTGGAACTGCTGCTAACAGGCTCCTGTTGGCGGGGTACTTGCATTAGGGAAGGTTGAAAATGCGGTAAAATCACAGGCTGTTGTCTTATTCTTATGTAGTTGTAATACAACACAAAACAGCAGCACCGCACGCAGTCTGCCCGGCTCGTTGTGAACCTCGTGGATTCGGTTGCCCAGCAGTCGATCACGCTTTGTGTGCAGCCACGAGAAGGGGATTGCGTGTGCCCCATCTCTCTGGTGTCTCTCTTCTTTTTCTCTTTTTTCTCTTTGTGTGCCGTGATGGCCTCCCCCTACATCGGGTCGCCAGATCACCAGCGTCTGTGCGGATTCATGCATCGCCTGCGAACATTTCCTGGAAATTTATACACTTACAAAAATTTATGCACATTACCCATGTTTTGGTTTGTTTGGTCAGAGGACCGTATAGAGCACGATTAAAACACAGGGGAGCGAATTCTGCCATTCATCCACGCAGCAGTAGAGCTCAGAGGACGACGGCGTTGTCCATGGGTGCTACTACATCAGCAGCAGCGTGCACGGAGATTTTTTTTTCGGCCCTTTGGTGGATCACAATTGCTGTTCCGGCACGCTGTCACGATGACATGACACCTACCTGCCTGATGTTGCGACTTTGCTTGGTAAGGTTAGCTATATGCGTATGTGTCTGTCCGGGTGACAACTTGCACGTCCTGGACACCGTCCGTGATTGTCCTCGCCCTGCTGGTTCTCAAGCCTGTAGCATGTTCATTTCGCCAAGAAGAAAATAGCCAACACCACCATTCGCCATACACGATAATTCACACTCCGGTTCGCGTGGTTTTTCTGTCGCTCTCGTTACCGGGCGGCGCGTTACCCGACAATCAGCTTACGCCTTTCTCTCAGCCGACCGGACCAAATCCCCGCGGGCCCCTTACTTTCTAATCCGATGGTCCCCCTCCATGTTCGCGTATCTCTCTTTCTGATCGAGGGCTTTATCTCCATGTCTGTAGATCGGTCGTCGTTCTGATCCGGTGCTTTTTCTCCATATTTTGTGGTGCTTTTTCGCGCCGCAGGCGCGGCAGCAACAGGCGCGGCGGCCGCGACCAAGCTGTCCGCCGCGGCTCCCGGCGGCAGCGACCACGGCGAGTTCAGATTGTCTCCGAAGGCGGCCGAAGTGCGTTCCTCGCCGCGTCTGTCTGAGCTCTCGGACCAGGAGCTCGAATCCCTCTTTCAGGAGTTCGGCATCAAGTTCGAGAAGAGCTACGAGAACGACGACGAGAAGGCCATGCGGTTCGAGGTCTTCAAGAGAAATCTCAAGCGCATTGACGAGGTATTAAGGAAAAATAAATACACAGACAGAAAAAAGACTACCCATTCGGTATGTTGTTGTATGTACAGCAAGCAGTGTGTGGATTTTTCGGGGCAAGGGGGGTGTGCTCAAGAGAAATGTGAAAAGTGGTTTCTGTGTGAATCGTTTCTCGTGGTAGTTTCACAGCAGTGTGCTTTGGTGATGGTGGGTTAAATTGTCTTCTAAATGCCAGGGTATGTATTTTGAGTGGTGTGGTCGTGGACCGCCTTCGCAAGATTAAGTTTATATGCAGAAGAGAACATATAATACATAATACAACAGTGAGGGGGGGCGCCGATCCTATCCCTGACTCTAACTCAACATCCCCGATTGTATGCTTTATATAACATGCTTACTTTGTCGAATAAACCTCACAAGGCTGCTGGTGGTCGTGTAGATCATGTTCGGTTGTCTTTTTTTGTTTTTCGGGTTTAAGACGGTACAGACCCGATGTGTGTGCGTGCGCAAAAGCGAGTTGCCTTGTGCGCGCGCACGGTGCAAGGCTGTACTCATCGTGTCAAATAGTCCCGCTCGACCTCCGCTCAAGCTTGTGCGTGTTGTTCTTTTTGCGAGAGCTTCGGGTTTTTGTCGTCGCCGTGGCACGTGTTGTTTCTTCACATGACACGCGGTCGCGCTATGTATCGTCTTAATTTCGATCGGTTTCGCCTCCGTCATCGTCCCGGATTTTGCCAGAGAAACTCCAAGAGCCTGGGTGTGAAGTACGATGTGACGATGTGGACCGACCTCACGCACGAGGAATTCAAGGGATACCAGAACTACGGAAAGGTGACCGATCTTTTTTTTTTCTTCGAAAATATGACCCAACGAATCCATCTCTATCTAAGAGAAAGTCTCAAAGGTAGATTAGCAATGAATCCATTGCGTCAACGAAGGCGCTTTTTTTACGCACAACACGTGATGCACCGGTGCAGAAAAATTGGGCCAATCAAGGCCCGCATCCACATCGGTCATGAAGTTGAAGTTGCCGCCATTTTCGGCACCGAGAAACGTTCGCGGCTTGGTTTGGACAACGGTGCATGTTCCTCCTTTCCGAGCGACGCAATGTCGGTCGCCCCGGTGGTTTAATATTATAGTTGGTATCCTCGAAACCTTCTAGAGGCCAGGTCAGGGGTTCGAATCCCGGCTTGAGCGAGCTTTTCTTGCAAGGGAGTTTTTCTCTCGCTTCCGCTCCTGGTCTAGTGGATAGCGCTAGTTCGTGTGTACACAAAGAGAAGAGAGTGCTGGACTCTTCTCGCATTGAAAACCGAAGGCAACGTACCGCAGGAGGGGAGGGTAGAGAGGGGCTCTTCTGTGTGGCCACGGGTTGGAGTAAACGGCACTAGTGCTGTGAGCGCTGATTTGAAGTGAAGACAACAAAAAAAAATGGCGGCCGTGACGGACACAACTATCGATGCATTGTCAGACATCCTGCAAGCTATCCCGTAAGAATCGATCGCTGCAAGGTTCTAGCGGCGCGTGCAGACTAAATACGAGCCGTGTATGCCTCCCTGGAAATATCACCTCCTCCTACCCCCACCCCGTTCTTCCAACACCTAATTAATGCCCCCCACCCCCCCCACCGTTTGAAACGCCTCCTGACAGATCTCAGACGAGGCGAAGGAGGTGGCGAGATCGAAGGCCATGTCGACGAAAGACGCTTCGGATATGTACGAGTCCTGCCAGTCTTGCACCCGGTTCCCGGAGCTGGAGCAGTACATCACCGGTGACCTCCCCACCGAGTTCGACTGGAGAGACTACGGGGCCGTCACCCCTGTCAAGAACCAGGTACGTTGGGCTTACCGGTTGGTTTTAGCCGCTTGCTGAACATGAAGTACGGGGTCTTCACTCTTACACCTATCTCGTGTATGATGATATGATGTACTGGGTTGTTGACATGAAGATCACGGTTATTCACTCGCCCCCGCCCCCCGCCCCCCCCTCTCCCCCGTACCCCGCTTGTCTTGAGCAGGCGTACTGCGGGTCCTGCTGGACCTTCAGCACGACAGGCTGCCTGGAGGGGGCGTGGTACCTCTCGGGACACCCTCTCGAGTCCCTGTCGGAGCAGCAGCTGGTGGCCTGCGACACGTCCTACAACCAGGGCTGCAACGGCGGCTGGCCCAGCATCTCGATGGACTACATCAGCAAGAACGGCGGCATCGTGCCGGAGTCCATCTACCCTTACCGGAAGGTGTGGTTGTTTGTTTTGAGAGAGACATGCCTCTTCTCATTTTCTGCGTGTGAATGGATGCTCTCGTTGCCTTTTTTAGCGCAAGCGTTCATGTTGCCGGGAATTTTGTGCGTAATTTATTTGTGTTTTTTTTTCACGTGACTGCTTCTGCTCGTAATAAATTTTCACAGAGGACTGAATGTGTTGTAAGTGTTTGGCGGAGGTTTCGACGTGAGCTCGGCAACGCCTACCTGCAGCCTGCAGCTTGCTGTGTTCAGATTGAGGCCGCGTTTTGTGTGTCTTCCGAGACTCTTCACCTCCGCCATATGCTTATTCCGCTCTCCCCGCTGAGAACCGCCCAGCCTAATGGACCCCTTCCCATTGTGAATCCGCGTCGGCCCCAGGTGTTCATGAACGGTCACCTGGGAGACCCGGTATGCTCGGACGTTGTGAAGGAAGGTAACTACGCGGCCACCCTCGCGATCGAGGTCGCTCTCGCCGAAGACTCTATGACCGAGGAGGCCATGGCCCGATGGCTCATTCTTAACGGCCCCCTCTCGGTGGCGCTCGACGCCATGGGCATGGACTACTACTCCGAGGGTATCGACATGGGAGAGGTAAGTTTTGATGTTTTTTGTGTTAGCCTATCTGCTGTATCCTCCGAAGAAGGCATCATCGGAGAGTTTTGAGTTTTGGTTGTTGCATCCTAGAAGCCCATTCCAGGCTATCGTTCCTGCCTTTTCCTTCTTGGTCGTTGGTATGCTCATTTTTTTCTTTTTCTTTTCCACGTCACCCCCTTTGCGAGCACGATTGTTATTCCCGGCTTGGGAACCACTCCCCGCGCCCCGAAGTGAGCGGCTACGCCCTACGGGAGCGACCACGCCATCCGGCCTCTCCCCAACCCCCCCCCCCCTACGTCTTGCATGTCCCGGCCTCCACCATCAGTACTGCGAGCCCCTCGAGATCGACCACGCCGTCTTGATCGTGGGCTACGGGGAGGAAGACGGTGTCAAGTACTGGATCATCAAGAACTCTTGGAAGTACTTGTGGGGAGAGAGGGGCTACTACCGTCTTGTACGAGGCGTGAACGCCTGCGGGATTGCGGACGATGTCACCACCATCATCGTGGCGGACGCTACGGTCGAATAAATTGAAACACCTGCGACACGCAAGAAGAAAGTTATTTTCTTCTGGAGAGTGGGGGGCTTCTTGGCTTGAAAATGTTCTCACGAACGGGCGTTCAATGCCTCTCGCGGTCGCGGCCCACCCAGCAGCTGTGTGACGTGATTGTTTGTTTTGGTGTTGTTTCATTCTCCGTTTGCTTTTTTTGTGTATGTTGGGATATGCACGGATGTTTCGTCCGGCTTGGCTTGACGGGCTCTTCTTGGTTTGAAAACCAGCTGCTTTGTAGCCTGTTTTTGGTACCCACAGGAGGAGGAGGGCGGGAGGGAAAACGGACTGGTTGACGCTTTTGCTTTCCCACGGAGTTTTGTCACTGGTAGGTGCAGCCCAGGGTTGTCCTGTGAGATGGCCGAATAGAATCGGCGACCACGTGTGTTGGCAACTGAGGGGCTGTCAGCAAGCTATGGTTCGGGCGAGGGACGGGCGGGCGTTTCGAAGCGTTCCACCGCTGCCGTATTCTACTAGACTTGAGAGAAGAGTCTGTCAAAAACATTTTGTAACAGGCGGGGGGGTTCGTGTCCCGTGGTCTCGTGCACCATCACATGCAGGAGACAGAGGTAGAAATGCTTGTACTAGCAGCCTTGGAACACGCCCATTGCTGCCTTTCGGCACATACCGAAACGGTGTGTGCATTCTACCCGTATTGTGTTCGTCTCTCTTTGGTGTATGTTATTTTGGGGGAATATTTTTAGTCTGTTGAATGTATTTCGCTTGTTGATTTTTCCCTTCCGAGGAAACACAAGATTGTGAGGCCTTCCGGCATGTGCTCTGCCCGCGTTTGCGATTCGAGTTCGTGCACACGGTTGTGGCAGACTTGAGCAATAACTGCATGGGCACCGCCAAGATGCGGTGAGAGCCTCACATACGCCGGCCGGTTTTTGGTCTTCATTTTTTTTTTGTGAGCTCTTGCTCGGGTAACTCGTTTATCTATCGCGTGTAATATTTGCGTCTTGTGCTCATAGTCTGGGGTATGTGATGCTCGGTATCAAGGAAGGCACGAGTATAAAGCGGCAACCCGCGTGCATAATCTCATGTGCATGGATTTTGTTGGTTGGAGACCAAGCTGTTGGTGTGGTTGAAAAGGCTGTGCAGCAGTCTTGCGGCCCGTTGCAACGAAAGATGGTTCCTTTGTCTTTGTGATTTCGTCTGCCGCCGTGATGGTGGTGTAACGATGAGCTGTTGTCGTTGGGGACTGAAAATATGGCTACCCGTATACCCCCGGAATTAGTCTTTAGTCGTGGTCGTGGAAGTACTGGAAGCCATCAACCCCACGACTGAGACGGTCATCCGTTAACGTTAACATCATGAGAAATTTCTTGTACCAACTGCATTATATGCCGCGCTGTACCCATGCCGGCAGCCTTGTCTCTTTTCTCTCTCTGATGAGCAGAGATAGAGACGTCGAATCTGTTTGTGGAGAACCGAACCGGAGATTTAACTCAATTCTTTCTGCTCGGGTAAGCCAGCACCCCTCATCTGTTGGATCGATTCATGTGCGATTTGATCGGCGGAGCAACAGCAATGGCATCAAAAGCCCAACCCTCGCGCCCACCCGAAACGGCTCGATCGATTGGACATGTCCCACTATTTGCTGCCGTCGTGGCACACCGTTCACGGTCGTAACCACCCGTGTTCACCACCCCACACGCCACCTGCATGCCTTCGTGAGCAGAAGCCATCAGCACCCACCACCGTCGTAGAGGCCGACAAAAATCCCGCACCCCCAAAGACGGCGAAATACTGCGAAATACGCCCGAGTCAAAACGAGTCCACAGCGAATGGGGCGATATACGCCTCTCCTATCATAAAAGTACATGGTTGTAGAACGATCAGCAGCCTGCCAGCGAGGGTCTGATCTATACTGGCTGCGCCTGGGGCGAACGATGTGCGAGAAGTACGTCGACTTGAGAGGCAACTAACTGCTAAGTCTTCTCTCTCGCAACAAGGAAGTCCAACACTGATCGTGGACCACCGCAGTGAACAAAGTCTACCTCTCTTCTTCGCGGTCACTCGATTGGGACGCCGAAAAAAGGTACAGCACAGGCAGACCTCCTCAAGTGTGTTGTTCCTCCAGGTGTGGAGGAAACATGACATGATGGAAAAACAGCCTTGACGCACTTCTGAGAATTTTCGAGTTTTGGTGCTACGATCTAAAAGCACGTACGGCCTCGATGCATGCATTTCAATATCTCCATGCTGGAAGGCCGTAGGCAACTGCTGTGCGGCCAATACCCCTGTCTGTGCTGAGCGATTCTGCGTCACCTAGGCTCGTCAAACGTGGACGGGGTATGATTTGGAGTGATATCGAGACACTCTTGCTTCCAAAGCGGTGTTCTCTGAAGCCGACTTGTCTTAGTTTGCGCCGACCCCGCCCTGGCCGATGCCGAACTCGAACGACAGCTTTCGGGCCTCGAAGGCTTGGCGCATGTCACCGTCCCTCTCCATCACCGTGGCGAACGCCTCCCAGGCTCGCCCGCTCGTGGGCCGCTGCAGTCGACGCTCGCACACCAGCGTTCTCGCTACCGTGGCCTGAGAAAAGGATGGTGGGGGTGGGGTGGGCGTGATCCGTGGTGCGAGCTCCATCCGATGTGACCACCCACCCAGTAGTAAAACACCGGTGACACGGTAGGTACCTTGACTCTTGTCTCGAGGCTGCGGTTGACCGCGGATCACGATCGATGACTTTGACGTGACGGGCGGGCTACAAATGGCTGACAGGCTGGCTGGCTGCGCGACTTTCTTGTGCATGATCGCAGTAGTGGGGTATTTACGGGCTTAAGAGCCAGAGATGAGACAGAGATAGGTAGAGACAGATAGGTGCAGACAGAGACAGAGACAGCAGATAGAAAATAAAACGAGCGATGTGGAGTCACACCGCACCTTCTCTGGGAGCCGCAAGGCCGCGTCTAGAAGGGTTAGGTGCACCACATCCTGCTGGGCCTTGCTGCCACCGATGGCGTCGAGGTGATACCGCAGGGGCAGCAGCAGCGATACCGCCTCGTCAAACTCGCCCTGCGTCACAAAAACGGTTGTATGATCGAGGTAGGGAGTGGTGGTGATCTAGGTGAAGAGTGAGAGATCGGGGGCAGGTTTTGCTGCGGGGCGTTAGTTTGGGCAAGCTGCGAGTCTTGTCAGTTATGAGATGATCTTTGTCGGGTGACACTTGTTGCGGTTCAGCGGGAACGGGTTCTCGGCAGTAGGAGCAACAGGAGCGACACCGCCGCATGTCGCTTGTTCACCCCTCCGGATGTATTCGTCAGCAAACTCGTCACACTGCGAACATCAAGAACCGGGTGGCTTTTACAACAGGCGCAAAAGCTCGTGTGCCGCGTCTGCAGGTTCTGTTTGTTATGCAGTGTCGGGTGGATTGGAAATAATTGTTGTTCAGCCAGGGCCCCAGGAAACAGCGCACCCCTTGCACCTCGGTGACATCAAGCAGCAGCGGTGAGACACACCTCCGTCGCATGCTACGGAGGGTATCGGCAAGGCGAGAACGAGCACTGAAAACGAACAACGGCCGTGATTCTGTCTCTTCATACAACGCTGCGCATGCAACGTGAAAAGGGTGTTATAATAGAACGAGCGTTTCAGTAACGGTAGCGCCCATCATCGCTCACCCCCCGGTACGCAGCCATCGCGCGGCACAACGGCAGGCCAACGTGCTCCGCCACCCATAAGTTGTCCGGGGGACCCTCCACGCCCCCCTCATCCGCGTCCCCCCCAACGCCACGGTTTCGGCTGACCGGGAACGCGTGGAGTTCAACGGGCGCCGCAGTCGGCGTTGCTGCTGTGGACGCTGGTGTTGGCTCCGAGCCACCTGCTGGCGCTGGTGGTTGTCGTCGTCGCCTTGCCGCCGCAGGGGCTTCTCCTCCGCTCTTGACATACTCTCCCATGGACTCTAGTAGTTCCCGGGTCCTGGACTCCCAGTACTCCGCCTCAGCATCGTCTTCAACGCCGTTGGCCATGGCCGCGAACGCCATCAGGGCGTGGAGGTCGTGGAACGTGGAGAGGTGTCGCGCGTGCTGGTACTGGAGCCAAGCCTGCAAAATCGATGCCGTTCCGACACGGACAGCGCGCGTTGTGGCCGAAAGGGGGTAGTCGGGAGTTTGACGCAAAAGCCTCTTTGTGGGGTTTCGTAATATGAAGTCAATGGCGGGGGGCAACAAAAGAGAAAACCTGACGATACTGCGAGAAATCTCTCCGCCAACCCTTCTCCTCGCGCGGCATTGCCATGGCCTTCTACGACTGCCGTCGCTTCCCGTCTATTCCCAGTTCCTCGCGCCAACCGTCGAAACTCTGCCGTGAGAAATCCAATCCAGCTCTCCCACCATACAACCCATTATCCTACTCATCCCGGGTCGACGCACAGAAAGCCTTTCTTTACTTCTTCCCGGTGAGATTGACATGTTCTCCCACACCGAAAGACGTTTGCGCGGCCCGACATCGGGACAAAACATAACTAACACCCACAAGACACAAGCCGCACACGATACACGTATGCATACCTCCGCGACACCGCGCCATCTCGAAGCCCCGGTCTCCACTCCCAACAAATCCATCCTCCACAGTAGGCTTGAGGCGTCCGTCAACGCGAAAGGGGCGGGGGGCGGGAGCAGAAGCGCCCCGTCCAGCGTACCCCCCTCCTGCGACATCCATTGCCCAAATCGGTGACGGAGGGGGGGGGGGAGGGTGCACAGCATGTCGCAGTGAAGTCGGTTGTTGGGCAGGGGCGAGAAACGGAAGCAGTTTGTAAGGATGCAGATGCCTCTGTGCGTGTACAGTAGACTCTGGCCAAGGAACAAAGGTAGACTACGGGCAAAGAAAAGAAAGAGTACTGAATAGTGTACCCGTAACCTATGCACAGCAGTTCCTGGCAATGTACACGGCGGCGGAACAGAGAAGAGCTAGAGAACCCTCCTTGTGTCCAGGTACTTGTGCTGCCTTGTCGAAAAAAATCTTGGAGCATCAACTTCGCGGCAAACGCATTCATCCCCATGCATGAATGCGCGCTTCTCCTCTCCGTACCTGGTAAGCGTTTGGCTATATTATATACTTAACTTGCCTCGAGTTTTTCGCGGAAGTTATACTGACCTCTCCCTCACATCAACAGAGTGCTCCGCGAAATTCAACACGCACGAGTACGAAATCATTACCTCTTCCGTTTTTCTAAACCCCTGGCTTGCTCGCGCAGAGCATACTGCTGTACGCTTTAGTCAACTCGACTTACTCTTGGGGGTGCCAGAAGCGTATCGAACACCCTCGTCGCTCGCGCTTCCTGGCCCCTCTCCAAGGAGAACAGCCCGAGGTGCCAGGCCATGTGCTGCTGCAGCGGCCCCTCCGTGTCCTCCCACTTGTCCCTGCACTCCGTTAGAAACGAGCAGCCCTCGCTCGCCCTGGCCTGGTGTAGTAGTTCGGAAGGAGTTGCTGTTGTGGTTGTGGTCGTTGCCGTTGGTAACCTCGGTTTTTGTGGGTTTTGTCGTTGATAAATAGTATTGTTGTTGTTGACCGTCAGCTGTTGTGGTTGTTGTTGTTGTTGTTGTTGTTGTTGTTGTTGTTGTTGTTGTTGTTGTTGTTCGTTTGGTTCTAGCTGCTGTTGGCATTGGTACCCTTGGTTTGTGCTCGTTGCGGTTCTCGTCAAATCGTGTTTGGTCTCGTCACGATGGTGTTGCTGCCGGCGTTGCCCGGAAGGAAACAAAACAACAAACTTTGTCCCACCTCCATTTCGAAAACGTGCGCCATGGCGTGCACCGCCCAGATGTCCGTCCTCTGAATCGCCAGGGCCATGTCCGCCCGCTCCTCCGCCAACGCGTAGGCGCCGTTCTCCACTAGCCCGAAAGCGTGCATGCCCAGCACGTTTCCGTAGCCGAAAGTCGCTGGCGGCGACAGGAGGGAGAGACAAACGGACGTTCACAGACCGGTAGGAGGGGGGGGAGCAGTACGAGTGGTGGTGGTGTTCGAAGGGTCGTGTGAATCGAGGCAGCCAATGTAGGCGGCACGTCGTTGCATCTTGCGCTCTGGGTAAAGCTTAAGACAACACGGGGCACCGCACTTCGATGCAAGCACAAGCGCGTATTTGTGTGCAGCAGCTTCGTCAGAGGCCGAAGAGCGAGAAGCTTGACCCAAGATCATGTTTCGTTACCGAGTGACAAGACATGCGGGTGGCAAGACGATCCTCACGAGGGACGTCCATCATACCCATATCATCATCCACGTAACCTCCCCCCGTAGATCAGAACTCTGCCGAGCATCCCCAATCATGGCAAGACTAAGTGAGAGTAGCGGGAGCGTTCGAAGGGCCATGTGAGTTGAGACAGGCCATGTAGGCGGCCCGTCGTTGCATTTTGCGCTCTGGAATTAGCTTAGACTACACGGGGTACTACACTTTAAATACAATACAATACAAGTACAAGCGCAACACCCTCTCGCGGCGAGAGCGAGAACAACGCCTCTCTAGTCCAGCAGGAGGAGGACGAGAGCCCACCGTCAGACCAGAAGGGGAGCACCCTTCCGACGCAGTCTCTCATGTTGGCGCTATCGCCCAGGGTGAGGTGAGCGTCCTGCGACAGCTTTAGCGCCGGCAGGTCCACCGGCGCCGACATGAGCCACGTCTCCAGGTGCAGCGCTCCCTGCAGGAAAGGCCACAAGATACATGGTACAAGGTTAAGGAACCATGAGTCAACGCTGCAACAGCCGTTTCCTCCATCTGGGATGGAAAAATATCGGGGAGGGGGCGAGACAACATGGATCAGAGGGGGGCGAATGCTGGTCGTGTTTTTCTCCCTTTGACGTTGAGAACAACGACGCTGCCAGGGGGGGCTACGAACTCAGAATTACGCCAACAAATTTCTAACGGAGGGGGGATGAGGGTTGTACCGTAGCTGCAGCAGTGGATGGTGAGGACGGAACGGGCGGTGGAGATGTAATCGTCAGTCAAAGGCTAGTCCTGCACCCCGCATGGGCGGAGGCAACCTTGGTTTTCGAAGAGGATCGCTAAGCTACGCGCGCGCACACGCACAGATAAACACACCTACACCCGCGCCCACGACGACAGCATAAAACGCCGGGCCTCTTCGCGGCATCATGAGTTAGAAAAGGCCAAAAGCGTAGCCGCCAACACTCCGGTATTTTTTCGTCCATGCCCCTCGTCTCGCAACCACCGTTCAAACGCTCACCCCTCTTGAGCACGTCGTCCGTGATAGTACATGCAGTTGCCGACATGCTCGCGAGCGCACACGCGCACTGGCGTCATCTCTCAGTCGGTTTAGCGCGGTCGATACTATTTCAAAGAAACGCATGTCACCTACACACATTTTGGATTTTGAGCCGTAGCGAGACTGACGGCTCTGCGTCGGCGAGCCGGTTTGGGCGGGGTGATGTTAACGGAAGAAAATACTTGTACACACCCACTTTTCTACTCCAAGGGTCCTGTGGATTTGCAAGCATTGTCGAGTTTGTTCTGTCCCGTCGACACTACCGCCGTACTGCTGTACTGTTGTACGTCTTTCCATTGGTCCGCCGGATGTATCGTTCGGTGCCGACCTAAAACGCACACCGGGTCCAGAAGCATTCTCTGCTTTCAACCGCACTGAGACTGACGTATTTCAGTTGGTCAGCCGGTTCCCCGCGGTTGATGCAAAAAAAAAAAAAAAAAACACACACACAAAACCAAATTGATATATGTACCTACCTCGCGCCAGCGTCCACCGCACCACGCCCTCAGAGTAGCGGCGAACACCCGTTCTCTCTCCCCCTCCTTGGCACGGGCGGCATCGTCACCGTCGCCAACGTCAATCCCCTGAAGCTGCAGCCCCCTCTCCGCGGCAGCGAGGCACCCGGCGACGGCGTCGGGGTCTGATTGGCTGAGGGCGGCGAGCAGCCCGCGGAAGCAGTGCGCCATGACGCAAGAGGAGTCGTGCTCGAGGGCCTCCTGGGTCCGCAGGAACGGGTCTCCGCTGAGATTGGCGTACTTTTGTTTTTTTTTTTGGGGGGGGGGTGACGGGATATTGTTGTAATGAATTGTCAATTCACATGAACAACCATTCCGATCTCTCAGCCCAGTGCCTTCTTCTGACCGTGACGATCTACTGGGTGGTGCTCGTACGCACGAAAACGCATGCCGTAGTCGTTAGACTGTATTGACCTTGAGGGGGCGGTTTTCAATTGTATGGGTCTCTGTCGTTGAATCATTTTCCACGCAAACCTTTCGAAACGGGTTAAACCTATACCCCACAAGATACTACCACACCCTGGGGCGATTTTCAAAGCTTGGCTTCTTCGCAGCCAAGAGAGCGCTGCAGACTGCCCAGACAGATGGCATTGCAGAGGTATGCATACAGAACGGGCCCACAATTAACAAAAAATGTGTTGAGAAAATGAGGCTCAACTTTTCACGAAAAATAAGAAAACAGGGCTAAGAAACTCAGCTAAATCTCGGCCATAAGATAAGAAACGTCCCAACAAGCAACATGATCGTGCGATACCCCCCAGATATAAGAAACAAGGGGTTGCTGGGGGAGCGTGTCCAATAAGAAACGTCCCGCTGATGCTGCTGCTGCCATGCTCCCACCCCCTACCTAGCTCATCGTCGGACGCACTGCTAGAAAATAGGAAAATAGTGACATCTCACGGAAGAAGCAATGGCCATCTCACGAGTGCTGCAACAGCACAGAAACAAACATGCGTACACAATGAAACATTGGTTGATGGGCGTTTAGACAGTTTATACCGCATCCGTCCAGCCTTGAGAGGCCACAACCGGGTCGCCCAGAGCTCAACGGCGTCATAGGACCATCACTCAAATCTTCGACTGCTGTACGTTCGGCACGACCATACATACCCCAACATAGCACACACCTTAGAATTTCCAATCATTCAATTTAACTACCTTCGGTTTGCAATTCGGGCCCCTTTATTGGTAGCGAGGGGGAGGGGTTAGTTTCGCGGCGCCCCCCGCGCCCCCGCGCCGCCGCGGGCTGCGCTACACACGTGTTGCCCCCTATGGAAAAATTACCATATTTTTTTTATATGCAGACAATACAAATCCTGGAATCACATCCCCTGGCGGTCCCTCCGCATAGAGTTTTGAGCTATTCGAATGGGTAGTCTTTCTGTGTGTGTTTTTATTATTCCTTAATTTATTCTGCTATACCTCTCGTTGTAGTGCTGATCCCTAATCGTGCACATCCGATATGCCTTGCCCACACATAGAGACGCACACCCCCCAATTTCTGTGAGGTTTGGTTGGGGTTAGGTCTTCTGCAAACGGCGTTGAAAGTCCGGTGCGTGCTTCCATGGCTTGGATTTCTATATGTTTTCGGAGGTAGACGCATGATCGTTCTGGAAGCCACTTCTGCTGACTACTGGAGTTTAGACTTGAATTTGGGCCGACTTTCGCAGGCCAACCGCGGACGCTGTAGTGGAGATCCCTAATCGTGCACATCATGGATTCGTTCTATGGTCTTATATCTCTACGATAGGCCAAGTATCGGCCGAATCGGGGGACCGCAGTGTTTCAGCAAACTTCGGTGAAAGTTGGCTCCCAAGAGCTGAAAAGGTTGCGCGCAGCAGCAGAAAGCTGGTTCAACTCAGATGTGATCGTGAGGCATTTCTCGCGTCCAAAGCAAAATCAAAGGATGAAAACAGCTTTCCGGTGGAAGGTATGATCTGCTTGAGGTGCCCGTGTACTTTGGTGGCACGCCGAGGTCTGTGTGAGGAGCACGAGGTGGTGAAAGAACTGGGCTCAGCCTTGTCCAATCTGGGGAGGGGATGAAACAAAATTGCCCCGCTGAAACCTGCGGCGTGATTTTTTGTCCGTACTTTTTTTCAATTTCCTATAGGGGGCAACACGTGTGTATACCCACCAGCCACTCCTGCTGTATTGGTGTGTTGTTTTCTTCGCCAGAAATAAGAAAACAAGAAACTAAGAGCATCAGCAGGATGCGACAGCACAAAGGGATGATAAATCTGTTTTAAGAAATTGGGCCGACTTCGGCTGGGGCGTCTGCCAAAAAAATGATGTTGAGGCTCGACCCGATTTTGACGTTTCTCATCTCCGGTCCCGTTCTGTAGAGTAAGTACCACATCGATGACTCTCTACAAGTCGAGTCTTCTTTCGGGACTCCTGTCAACCTCACCCATTGATGCGGAGAAGTCGAACCACCGAAACGGGCGAGGAGTGTTGATAGGTGTGTACGTCTGGTCGCATGAAGGAGTGTGTGAGTACAACACAAAGAGACAGCAGTAGTCTGTCTACAGCAGTACTACTGCTGTACAGCAACCTGCTGTTTGTCTGTGGCTTGTCTGTCTGGTTGTCTGGCTGTCTGGCTCTCTCTCTCTCTCTCTGGACCTCTCTCCCACACAAACAAACACGCGCACAGTACCGCAGTTCAGACAAAACAAGAGAGAAGATTGGCACGACGGTGCGGCACCGCCAACCCTGTGGCACACTGCTGCTGTAGGCTCTTGGCATACCGGCGTTGCGCGGCGCAACAAAGCGCAGGAATACCACGCACTTCAAGTCTAAATACCACACCCGCTACCGTCGGTGTGCCTACCTATCCATCTCTCACGACACCATTCACCTCCGTATACGCGTCATCGAGGCTCTTGATGGCTTGCCAGCTGGTGGTGACTACGGGCAGGCCGCACACATCGGGCAGGGTAGAGGCGAGCCTACTAGCAGAGCGGGGAGCGGCTTGACAGCCTCTAGTGCTGTTGCTGCTGCCGAGAACAGATCTCCTGACGGAGGCAGCGCGCAATGCACCAGGCGCAGCGAATCGCCGCCTAGCAACGCCGGAGAGGAGCATCGCGTGGTGGCGCACGCGCAAGGTGCAAGGTGCGGGTAGACAGGTGCGGCGCAGGTGGGTTCGACAGGTGCGGCGCAACCTCGGCCAAAGCGCGTCGCTGATTGGTTGGTTTCTTCCGGTGTCGACCGTGCGAACGTGCAAACGTGTTCATTGTTCATTGTATTCATGCCCTGCCCAAACTTGGTGGTAGGGTTGGGATAGGGTCTACGCGAGAACCTGTCTGATCTGCACATGCGCACAGCATGGAGGATAGAACATAGAGAAGGTGGGGGGTAGTCTGGTTGGTTTTCGAATGCGACGGATATATATCAGGTGTCACATGTGTGTTCCCGGATGGATCCGATCTTAGAGCCCGCACATCATCGCTGTAACAACTGTAAGTGGCCTACTACAGCTAGTGATCACAAACTGCTGTACACCTCAGGGTCAAACAACAAGGTTCCCTGTTGTAGTCAATACTTTAAGGGTAAGTGGGGGGCGGGGGGTGAGGAGGGCTAGCTCCGGTAAATGGCGATAATATGTTGTCGTGATATCAAAGGGAAAATGAATGTACAGTATATGTCATCTGCTGCTGGAAGATGCATTCACCAATCAATACATGCTAGCTGCGACTCACAGCGTTTTCCCTACAGATGGGGCCCGCAGTTAAAAAAATTCGGTTAAGAAAAAAAGGCTCAAACTTTTACAGAAACTAAGAAAAAAGGTCTAAGAAACACAGCTCAATCTCGGGCACAACTCCTGCACACACCGATCGATCAGGTCTTTCTCTAATTCGAGCGGCTTATCGGCTGTCTCGAACGAATAGAGAAACACTAAATAGCAGTCGGTCGCCTATGACCGGGGGTCGGGTGCATTGATTGGCGGAAGCGCTGCGGTTGGCACTGCTCGGCACTAATGAGCGAGGGTCATCACCATGGCAAAGTTACCACACGCTGCACAGATAGATGTCGCGAGGCGAAAACTTCACAAGCGCGAGGGGGTTGGCTCACTACTACTACTGTACATCCCCGTGGGACACGCGCCTGTTGTCTTCTTCCGCCTTCCACAATTCGCACCGCAAGCTACATGTACCCCAGCACGTCGAAAAATCGGATGCAAGCAGACATTCCTGGAAAGGACCACGATCAAAGGAAAAATCGACCAGTGGAGGGCGAAAAAACATGCGAATACGTTACGTACTTTTACGACAGAAAGAAGAGGAGAAGGGCGAGACAAACGGCCGGACGCTCTTCCCCACGCCAAGAAAGGGAAACAAAAACACAACAGAATATTAAAAAAACACTACGGTAGTACATGTAAAAACAACGCCTTGTACAAAACTACAAAAAAAATCACAATAAAAAAAAGATCGTTATGCTCAACAGAGATCGCCCGAAACTTGGCCAACGTCGTCGTAGCCCTCAGGCAACCTGCTTTTCCGCACTTGAACTCCGACGCTACCGAACCTTCCCCCGTTGTTTCGATGACCACCGCCCACTACCTGAAAAAAATCACCGACTCACCTCCTCGCCACCGCCACTTTCGGGGTTACGAGAGAAAACCAGCAGTGGGGGAAGAGTGGGAGACACATGAGGAGTATGAACACGCCCGTCAGTAACAATCAACAGCTACAAACACCCTTGTCGACGCGGGACGAGCAAGAAATGATGTGTCCCCCCTCTTCCTACATGCCTACATGATCTGCAACCCCCCCATGCATGTGTGCTTACCTTTAAAGAGAGCAGCCCATTGCGAGGGGCGCTACATCAATCGCATAAGTTCGTGGTTTCCATTCCCCCAAACATGAAGCAAAACATGAAGCAAAAAACAATCTAGAAGTAAAAAACGCCTCCGCACACCTCGCGACACGAAAGCCCCCATGCCATTGACAACCAATGGCATCTCTCACCGAACTTCTCCCACCACCATTCCGCAGATAGATCTCTGACATCGAGCCCCCACCCCAACTTAAAGATCCAATTACAGCAACACTTGCATATGGTAGATCACATGCAAACGACATTGCCCGTGCCAGCTAGTTAACCCCCCCCCCCCCCCCATGCACCGGCTCTGAAGGAAAAGTTCTCTCTCAAGCACTCTTGACCCCCCTAATTCCCCGGGGGAAACTTCAAGGGGAAAAAAAAACCGCCGCCCCGGGGCTGAAAAAACTACTCCCCTAGCGCCCCCCTAAAAAAACCATGGACAACGGGCCCCGGATTTTCAAAAAATTTAAAACACGGAAAAGCCCGGAGGGGCCCCACTCCCTCTTGGCCCTCCCCACGCCCCGTCAGCCAACCCCTGGAAAAACCCGGCCTTTCCTTTTTCTTAAAAAGGAAAAAAGGAACCCGCGGGGACCCCTGGCACAGTACGAAAAACTACTCCCAGGACGACCCCCAAAACCAAAGAACCAAGTGGGGGCCACCCCCGAGCGCTGGAAGGCGCCCCCCCCCCCCCCCCCCC